AGCAGGAATACCTAATTCAGCTGAGGGTCCTAGTCAGCTCCAGACAGCAGAGGTGGTAACTTGGGATCATAGGGAGATCTTCTGAACATGAAGTCTTCACAGGAGGCAGTTCAGACTTTTGGGGGCAAGTATCCCCCTCAGAGGCAAGGATTCAAACCAGAGCCCTACAGGTGGCCGGGCAAGAATTTGTCAGTGTAGTTCTTTTCTGCTAACCAAATGAGTCTGCCAGCTTCCTGCACTGTCTGCAGCTTGAACCACTCTCCACTATCTTCAATTAGTACAGCTTCTCTCACCTGTCCCACAGCTACTGTGCCACCCATATGGTTTTCTGCCATACCTGCTCCTGAGGAGCTCTTTTTTGCTCCACAGTTGAGGGCAGACACACAAAAAGAGTGTGTATGAGAAGGTTGGGGTATGAGGATGAGATAGAGGAAGGCTCTCATAGCTCTGAACCCTATCTGAGGGATAATGTGTGGGCACTTGTCAAACGATGAAATAAACAGCTGGAGTTAAAAAGACAGTAATCCTTCCTTCAGCACTGGAATGTCTTGCCATAGCCCCTAGGTCATTGGCTTTCTTGAAGTGGAAGGGGTCTACTAGGTCTTAGGAGAAGCATCAGCCTCCTCTTTCAGCAGACTCAACTTTTATGATCCAGTGTCTTGTCCCACTGGGTTTTCCTACCTCCATGGCTTCCTGGTGGTTAGCAGGTAGGTGAAGATGTCAAGGCAATCAGCAAGGCGCATGCCTGATTAAAATCTGGTGTGTGCCCTCCTCAGTTCTTCCCTAATGGTGAAGCCATCTGCACCGGTTCAGATGATGCCACCTGCCGTCTCTTTGACCTTCGGGCAGACCAGGAGCTCATAGTGTACTCTCATGAGAGCATCATCTGCGGAATCACATCAGTCGCCCTCTCCCGCAGTGGGCGCCTCTTGCTTGCTGGGTATGACGACTTCAACTGCAACATCTGGGACTCCCTGAAAGGAGAGCGTGTGGGTGAGTGGCTCTTGGAGGTCCCTCTTTTATTCCCTGCAAGGTCTTCTGTCCCTACCAAGGCAAGGAAAAGGCCTTTATTTTTTTTAAAAGGGACAAATCCTATACTGACTGAAACCAAACAATGCTTCCTCGCCCTTAAGGAGCGCATCATAAGTAGTACAACTCATTTCTGTATAACTTGGTTTTAATGTTAGGGAAGTCAAGCCTTTAAACAACATTGTTTGAAGGGGGAAAAAAGTATTAAGGTTCCTGTTAGCTAAAACTGCTCACAAGCACCAGTAGTAATTATCTATCTCAAACTTTCTCCTAGCCTCTGCCATTTGCCAGTTCCAGCTACTCACAGTGCCTCTTGGCAGCCAGGCACCAAGCTGAGCATAGACCTGAGCTTCCATCAAGCATCTTCAGATACTCTGTGAGGCTCACATGCAGAATCCACCCAAACAGTATTTTTCTTTCAGGTGTGGCCCCTAGCCTCTGAAAAAATCTATAACACGGCCTACCAACAGCATTGCTATTTCTCAGTCTTATCAGGGGCACCATCCTTTCTTAGGCTTACCATCACACCAGGGTGAAAGCAGTTGTATGAGGATTCAGGTGGTCAGACTTTCCCAAGAACATTGTTCTTTGACCAGTCCCATGGGTGGTGGTCATATGTCATGTACAAATGTTCTTCTGCATGTTTGTTCTTATTAGCCAGGTACTGATTGTAACACATTATTCAGGGACAGACAGCATGATACACAGGGGTGTAGGTACACAGCCTACAATGAGTGCTCTCAGCATGGTCAACCCCTTCATCTCTCCCAGGTCTCACTTCTTTTCCTGACCTCTCTTCTTTCCCCCCATAGGAATCCTTTCTGGCCATGACAACAGAGTGAGCTGCCTGGGGGTGACAGCAGACGGCATGGCAGTTGCCACTGGCTCCTGGGACAGCTTCCTCAAGATTTGGAACTGAGGACAGCAGCAGAGGGGAAAGAGCAGCAGAGGCATGGCCCACAGCCCAAGCCCAAGCAAGCAGTGTCAGCAGCTGAGCACAACAGAAACACCTACCTACCACTCCCACTTGTCTCTAGGCACAGGTCACTTGTAGAGGTCTCCCAGAGTGAAAGGGAAAGGATAAGTTGGGGAGGGGGAGCAGGGGAACCTGGGGAGCAGGAGCACACACACCTCTAAACAGGTCAGCAGTTTCCAGCCTCGTGCAGGTTTGAAGACCTGCAAAACACTGTTCATTACATCTCAGGACTTTACAGTACAGTTCAGACACCCTGCATCTTACTTCAAACACACACCTCTACCCATATTGATGGCCATCCTTTGGAGGACCCCTCATCCAACACCTCTGTCTCAAACTAAGCTCTGTCCCTGATTTAACTCTACCTAGCTTCTCTGTGCAGCTGCTCTATATCCACTCAGACAGCCTCAGAGACATATTGGGTTTGAGATTTCTATCATGCAACCTCAAACAAAAAGGCAGTGTAAATTGGGCTCATTTTCCATTGGGGAAGACTTAGCTCAAGTCTTATCTATGCATAAATGGAGGAAAGGTAGCCCTCAGACCTGCCAGAACACCAAGGAATATTATATTTATTCTTATTTATTGTCTGCTTCTTGCTGTTCCTTCTCTTTTTGCCTCACTCCTGTGCTGTGTGGTGACCCTGTCTAACCAGTAGCCATCAGCCCCTGTTTTCAAGTCTGTTATAGATTGTCATAGCCCAGGCTAATAAAGAAAGCTCACATAAGCACTGCAGGCTGTGTTCTTTCCAGCATTGCAATAAGCTATTGCAAACTTAACTCTCTTCCTTTGAATACTGCCTACTGCCTCCCTCTAGTAGAGCATCTCATCAACAGGCCTTGCTCTACTTCAAAGTCCCCAGGGGAGGATGTTCCTCAACTATATTTTAGTTGAGAAGAGGCTGTTAATCCCAAGGGTTGCTGCCCTGGAGTTGGGCTAGAGACCTGAAAACGCATCCTTGCAAAACTGAGATTTGAGCTCAACTACAGGACACAGCCATTGTATTCAGCCTCTATACCACTTGTTGGCTCATAGCCAAATCCTGGGGTCCCAGTGCTCTGCTAGGGAGAATTGAAGGTCAAGGTGTAGTGACATACCACAGAAGGTCAAGACATTAATGCACAATACTAACTCATCCTATTTTGGTTCTCACTTTCATGCCAGACACTCACAGTTGGCTACAATCTTTTGTGTGTACTAATTTCAGGTCAGAGTAGGTACAGCAGAACTCCAGAAATTAAACTAGATAACATCAGTCTCCTGCACAGAGCTGCCAAGCCCCAGCCCACTCTGGATTCAAGGTCAGACCCTTCTCAGCACAGCTTTATAGCAGCACGTTACCAGCAGGGGACACAGCTGAGATTTAGGGCTAATGGGAGGCTGAACTATCAGTTCCTGAATCCTTGTTCCCAGAGAAAATGTTGCACTTGGCAAGCAGGAGACTCCCACTGTCCTATCAGGACAAAGATACAGTCAAAGGTTTAATACAAAGTTATCATCTGCTACAGATAAGATCTCTACAGTAAGTCAATACAGCCGATATACAATAGAAGAGACAAATACTGTACATAAGACATGCAAAGCTAGGTGAGAGAGAGTGCTCTTTTCCCAACAGGTATAGGTGAGAAGAGTGACCACAAGTCTGGAGCTTCAGTCTATTGCAGGATCTCTCACTCCTAGAAGACTCTGAAAACATAGAAGCAAATTACAGCAAGATCCTGGAAAAGGAATTTTCTCTAGTTCTCCACAAAAGGACACTGTTTGTTCTCTTTGTTCAAGTCACTCCAAGCACAGTTCCCAGACTTGAGGCTCCTGCTCAGATCCATTGTCACTTCCTTCTTCTCCCCAAGGTTCTCTCCCAACACATGCCTCTTACCCTAGAGAAATAAGAGAACCCAAACAAACAGTGTAAAACACATGTTAATTGAAGGTCTGTTAGTTAATTCTCAGTGGAACACGTAGCTCATTTTCAGGCCATTCAGCTTTAGCTCTCTTATGACAATGTCCAAGAGTGATGCACTTCTTCCTACAGCCTAAAGAGAAAGGATGCACTGAAATGGGCAATACCATGTTAAGGCCAAAGATAAAGGCATTGAACAAGACTTGCAGGCATCAAGGGACAAGACTGACCCACAAAAAAATACTTATTAAGTCATCAGGCTCTACAGGCCTAGGAGGCCACAGTTCCAAAGTGGGGTCCTACAAAATACAGAAATTGAAGAATTTGGGGTTGTTCCCCCCCCCCCAGTATCACTCACTAAGCTTTACCTGGCGAGGGGCAGGAGCACTGGGGGAATTATCATCCTGTAGGATGCTGAGGGGAGAGCGGCCAGTTCTACCAGATGTTGCCCCGATTTTGTTGTTGGTCTTGCGTCTTACAGGCTTGTTCCCTAGTGATGGAAGGAAGCACATCAGTGTATCACAACAAGGCTAGAGGGTCCTGGATTTTAAATGCATCCTGGCCTTTATGATCTAGCTTGCTTGCCTGCCTGCACAGCAAAGACTGTTACCCAAGGACTTCCAGGTAAAGGGATCACAGAAAGACTGAGGTTGGAAGGGACTTCTGGAGAACATCTGGTCCAACACCCCTGCTCCAGCAGGGCCACCTAAAGCCAGTTGCCCAGGACCATGTCCAGGTGGCTTTTCAGTATCACCAACAATAGACTTTGTATCCTCTCTGGGCAACCTGCTCCAGTGTTCAGTCATCCTCACAGCGATAAGGGTTTCCTGGTGTTCAGGCAGAGCCTCCTGTGTTCCAGTTTGTGCTTATTGCCTCTGGCCCTGTCACTAGGCACAACCAAAAAGAGCCTGGCCCTCCCTTCCTTATAGCCTCCCTTCAGGTGTTTATACATATTAATAAGATACCCCCTGAGCCTTCTTTTCTCCAGGCTAAACAGTCCCAGGTCTCAGCCTCGCCTCATAGGAGAGGTACTCAGCAGAGTTTTCTGAAGCATGGTCTATATTAAAGACTGAGCACCACTCATTCATAACACTTAGATGTGCTTCCCACCCTCACTCCCCAGCTCTTCCTAAGGAGAAACTCCAAGGTCCCACTGAACAGGCCTCCACGATGACAAGCCTGTCTCAGAGAAAGGAAGAGCTGACATTTACCTCTTAAAGAGGTACATTTACCTATTGATTTTGACTACAGATTGAAAAATTAAATTTTCAATTCCTGACAGAGATCCGTTTGATAAGAGAACAGCTCCCAAAAGGGCCTTCTGTCTGCCAGCCGCAGAGCCCCAAGGCCAGGCTATCTGAGGCAGTGGAAGACCGCTGAACGGGCGGAACGGACAAGGTCTCTAAACAAGGCAGCCAGCCTGGAGAAGGCACACGCACCAGAGGGTGCTGGCCTGCTTGTACCGCGGTCGGTGCAGCTCCGCAGGCAGACGAAGCCTCAGGTGTGTTACCCGCCCTCCCCGAGCACTTACCCGAGGAGAAGCCGGGCCCGGCAACGCGGGTCGACCG